AACTTAACAGTTATTATATTAAATACAATATATACATAATAAAACTTAACATACATAATAAAACTTAACATTCGTTTTTGCGGCTACTGTGTGTGTCATTCGTTTGTACGATTTCTATGTGTGTAACATTCGTTTTTACGAATTCTGTGTGTCGTATGTTTTATGAAATCGCGAAGTGGAAAAAACGCGAGAAATAATTCTGAGAATCGAGAGACAATGAAAAAAGCGGGAAAAATGACTGACCCTAAAGATAGTGTAGCAGATGAAACATTAGAAGATAATTCGACGACAAATGCACTTAATGGAATTATGAAGAAGCTTGAACGTATAGAAACTATGTGTCTGGAAAACAGAGCCGAAATTGCTAAAGTAAAAAATTGCCATGTGGATGATGAAATAGAGAACAGTGTTGTGTGTAACAGTGCTAAAACTGAATTTATAGAGCAAGAGTCTAGCGTAGAAATTGCAGAGAGAAGCCAAAAGAAATAACGTTTTGATGGCCAACCGCAGGAATGGCCCCTTTTTTACGCCAATTACAACGACACAACAAAGATGTTTAATTATAGCAACAGGGAAAATCTGATGTGGCTTCAAAAATGTTTTGTTGGTACAGCACGTGAAGCTATTGTGTCAATTCTGATATATCCAGCCGATGTGCCTAATGCTATTGAAGAGCTTGAGTTTCGATTTGGAACACCAGATTTAATGGTCAAAGATCAATTGGCAAAACTGCAAGAGCTACCGTCGTTTGGAGAGTCCAAATTAGAGCAAACTGTACCATTTTCGACAAAAATTCGAAACACAGTGTCAGTATTGAAAGCTGCCAATTGTAGCCATTATTTGCGTGATATAACTATTATGGAAGCATTGGTTCGTAAGATACCGCCGAGCAAGCAATATGAGTGGGTTCTACATTCAAAATCTCTGAATCACATCCAACTATTGAGAACTTTCCGATTGGCTTGGTTCTATCACGAGGGTCGTATGCCTGCTTCCCACTGTTTCACCGAAATCATCACAGAGTAAAGCAAGTATGGTAATGCACGTCAATGAAAATAATACGCTGCCTTTGAAAAGAGGGTGCCCAAATTGTAAAGGTCAGCATAATTTATTTCAATGTCAGAGCTACAAAACAAGTAGCATTGCCGAACGTTGGAATAAAGTAAAAATTTTTAAGGTATGCTTTTCGTGTCTTAATAACGGTCACATAACAATGAATTGTCGGTTAAAGAAGTATTGTGGTATAAATGGATGTAAACGTCAGCATCACTTCAGCCTACATGAAGAGAAGAAGCCTATAGCATCGCCTGCTGAGATAATACTAAATAGTACAGTGCTTAGTTGCCAAACTTCATCACTTATTTAAAATTTTGCCGGTAACGTTGTGTGGACCAAGAAGTCATTATACTACATACGCCATACTTGATGAGGGTTCGTCTATATCCATAATGGAAGAACGAGTAGCCGTCGCTTTGGGTCTTAAAGGGCAGCTACAGCCACTTACATTACAATGGTTTGGTAAAAAGGTCGCCAGAGAAAAGTGCCGTAAAGTCGACCTGGATATATTTGGTTCCGATCGTTCAAAAGTTTTTACTTTAAAAAATGTCAACACTATTCGTAATTTGGGTTTACCGGTACAAACTTTCGTAAAGGCTAAATATCTACATTTAAGAGAGATTCCGATTGCTGAGTACCAATGTGTTGTAAGGATGGAAATTTTAACTAATTTCCAACCTACATACAATCACTGTGGAGTTAATATCTACAATGAAAACTGGTTAATTTTTATTGTAAATTTAAAACGTAAACAACTTACCATAAACCCACCCCCGCATGCACGTAATTGCACCAAATGAACAAACCCAAGATTACATTGAAAATGCAAGTAATATAAAATATATTTAAACAAATAAATAAATATTTATAAATAAATAAATTTATTAATAAATAATAAACCACACACACCGGCACTATATAAAAAAAAACAAACACGTTTGTAAACAAGACGAAGCATGAAAGCTTTGGTTGAACTAAAAACGAAGCTCGGCGAATTCAAGAACACACGAAAACACAAAGCACAGAAATTACACCCAGGCGAACAACAGCAGTAAAAGACAACAAGTATCAAAAATACCAACGGCAAATGTACCGATGCGCTACAGGAAAAGCTTCGGTCGTTTGAGTATAAATAAGCGCACATTGTACAAGCAAGGGCACTTGTTGGGAAACTCTCAAAGGTAGTAATACGTCTTTGTGAAACAAGTCAGTAGAACTATAGCGTCAATGTAGTATATACGTCTTGACAAGTAGATTGTATATGTAGTCTTATATGTAAATCAAGCCAAGGTAGTCATGATACATCTTGACTAGTAGGATTTTCTGTAGGTTTGAGTTAGGGTAATAATACGTCCTAACATTAATGAATGCCAACCAAGGCTGTAACCCAGCATAACACTTTTAATCTCCAGTTAACGACGTCTTCTGACAAAACACCAAGATTAGCACAAGTAGTGTAGTCTGACAGCAACATTTCAGGCACGTGGAAACAACAATCGGAACAATCATCGAAGCACAATTATTCCAAATAATCGTAATGATCAAATTAGCAAACCAGCATTATATTATAATTATATTAGATTGTAAAATCTTATTTTATTTTAAATTCTCCTAAATAAATAATTGAATTACTACATCACATTGTCTTTGACTTCCAAAATAAAAATTCTATTGCAACGACCCCTGGACGACGGCTGAGTATACCTCAGCATCATCAGCGACAGAAAGTGTGTCGTTACAGTGTGAAGCCAACAGTTTTAATTGGTATTGACAATGCATATCTTTTGTCCTCTTCGAATCAGAGGACAACAGAAGATCCAGATCTACCCTAGAAGCCAGCACGCGTAAAATTGATAGTTATGCTAGAATATTAACGGACGATGAGGTGCGAAATTGTAGACTTCCTGTATAGTACTTGTCACATTTTGCTGTTAAAAACGTGCACAAGCCAGACAAGTGTCGCATAGTTTTTGATGCTGCTGCCATAGCGAATGCAATTTCACTCAACTCACAATTACTGAAAGGTCCGGAAAAAGCAAAGCCACTATCTGATATTTTGTTTAAGTTTCGACAAGGTCAAATAGGTGTAGCCGCAGATATAAAGGAGATGTTCTCCCAAGTGAAAATACGCGTAGAAGACCAACATGCCCAACGATTCCTATGGCGAATTAAAGCCGAAGTTCATCATTGTGTCATGACGTCTATGATTTTGGCGCTATATGTTCCCCCTGTTATGCGGAGTATATCAAAAACAAGAACGCAGAAAATTTCCATGAAAAATATCCTGAAGCAGTCGATGTAATTATTAACCAACATTATGTAGATGATTTAGTTTGTGGGTATTCATCTGCAGATAATGCTATCAAAATATATTAACAATTTCTCAACATACATCGCAAAGCTGGTTTTGAGCTCAGAAATTTCGTGTCCAATTCAAAGTACGTTGAGCAGACTATGATTTCGAATTTTGCTGAAATAATTGCCTATAGTCAACCAGAGCAGTGGCGCTGGGTGCCAACTAACGAAAACACTGCCGACGCAGCGATTAGATTGTGGACCAAATTTAAACCAAATGGCCGATGGTTGTGTGGTCCCGAATTTTTGAAAAAACATGAATCCGAATGGCCTTGCTATAGCATAAAGCTGCCAAATCCTATAGAAGAAGAAAACTATTCATTATTTTTAACACGTACATGTGATTGTGTCATAAATTTTAATAAATTTTTGTCTTATTCAAAGTTGAAACGATATATGGCGTGGTATTAAGAGCCATCAAGAAACTAGCGTGACATTGGTTACTGACACTGAAATTGAAGAAGCCTTCACTGATAAGTAAAAATTATGCCCCGAAGGTTGAGAGCCGCTTTCGCCAAGTCATGCTGAAAGAGAAGCCGCCATTCTTATCATTGACTGTAGATGAATTGCGTAAAGCCGAATTAAAGATATTCTAAATTGTTCAAAAAGAGAATTTCGCGAACGACCAGTTACATGAAGGTAAGCACATTCAAAAGCGTAGCTCGATTTTCAAATTACAGCCATATCTGGACGAGTATGAACCATTACGTTTACATGGACAGCTTGATGAAGTCACGTACCTGCCACTAGATGCCCGACGCCCGATCTTGATGCCACACGATCATATCGCCACAGAATTAATTGTACGCTATTTTCATGAACAATTTCATCACCAAAATACAGCCGTGGCTATTAATGAATTTCGTCAAAGTTTTTGGGTACCACATGTCAAAAAGGCCATAAAGAACGTTCAACGTACATGCTCAACCTGTCACATGAGAGAGACAAACCATTACCGCCATTGATGGGCCAATTACCTAAAGATCGCGTCACACCATTTATACGCCCATTCACATATACTGGTGTAGACCTGTTTGGTCCTGTTGGTGTCGCCATTGGTCGCCGACAAGAAAAAAGATGGGTTGCAATTTTTACCTGCCTTACCACAAGAGCCACCCACTTGGAGATTGTTGAAAACTTGTCAACGGACGCATTCATTCTTAGCTTGCGAAATTTTGTGAACAGGTGTGGTACTCCAATTCGCATTCGATATGACAATGGTACCAACTTTATAGCGGCGCAGAAAGAATTACGATCAAACGAGAAAATGTTAGACACCGATCGCATCCAACAGGAGGGTTCTAACAACTACATCGAGTGGATTTTCAATTGCCCTGTCAACCTCAGCACTGATGGTTGCTGGAAACGTTCAATTCGTATCGTCAAGCGTCTGTTATGCCACACTTTGAAGAATGCCATACCAAGAGTCGAGACACTTCGCAGTGTACTCATTGAAGCTGAAAATTGTAATGATCAATTTTTGAAGTAAAAATAAAATTGATCTTACAGTGATGAAGACCTGGAATAAGTAAATAATTAAAACCACTGAATGATAAATATTTCATGGGCATTACCTCGAATGCTCACGACTAGTTCACAGTAATAACTTCAGTGGAGTTCTGGGTGGAATAAAATGCTCGATGTAAGCTGAATTTATTAAGAAAGAATAATTATATAAAATAAGGAATATTATATCAATAAAATAGTAATATTAACATACCTTCTCTGTGTATCCGTCCAACTTTATTTAAAATAATTCTTTTTAAAAATAATTAAAAAAAATAAAAAAAAGAAAAAAATTACTGACATCCAAACATGTTTATAAAAATCCTAACAAAAACCTGCAATGTGAGAAATGTCATTTTAATTTGTTTTGTTATAATTTTCGTTTGATCGCCAAAAGTTGCAGCGAGTAATAGGAAAAGCTGAGAATGCAGCGTAAACAGTTCAAGGTAAGAGACTCAATAACAAAGTAATTGAAAGCTTTCGTAAGTCTCGAAGTAGAAAACCTTAATTAAGTTCATTGACCGCAAAACGGCTAACTGAAATATTTTGATTTGGACAGTTAAAAAAAATTGGAATAAAAGGAGCAGTCAGGGAAGCTACTGTCTTCTTTTGGTTCGTTTATTTGAAACGGAATGTACAAAACGAGTGACAGCGTTTTCTTGGGCTGGATTTGATTAACAAAAAAAACTTCTGTGAACTACAAGAAATATAAAAGCATAAATTTTCCTTTTGTGTGTTCCGTTTAATATACCCGAAATAAGTGCTGTTTACTAAAAACTAAATAAAAAAAACTTCTGTAAACTACAAGTAATATAAAAGCATAAATTTTCCTTTTTGTCTGTTCGGTTAAATATCCCCGAAATAAGTGCTGTTTATTTTGTGCGGTAATTTGAATATTGAACACTGAATATAGAAAACCGGTGAAATCAAAACCAAATAATTTCCAAAACCACGATATTCAGAAGTAATACGAGTAAATTAAAATAGGTAACAATCCTCATAGAAAGTGGCGCAAAGTTAAGATTACATGTCAACTACAACTTAGCGTGGACTCCAGTCGAACTAAACTTGCGTGTAAAATTAAAAGAAAAAAAGGAAAAATTTGAAAAAAATATAAATTCATAAAATTAAATAATTAAATCCTAAAAGGACGAAATAAACTAACTGGAAATAAAAACAAAAATATAAAAAAAAGGATAAAACCCTTCATTTTTTTTAACAAAAAAAACGAAAATTCAAATCATTGGTTTAGTTGGTGACTTTAAACCAGGGTTATTTTCGTAATTCTTTTGGTTAAAACATCTAAGCAGAATTTAAAAAAAAAAAAAAAACACAACGCGACCGCGCCAGCAACATCATCAACAGCACTAACAATTCAGACGCTAGCAGCCGCTACCACAACTACAACAACGTCGCTCCTGGCACATAGCACCAGCGAACAAATATTTTCTTTTTTTTTCCTATCTCTCTTTATATATGAAATATATAGTAGTATAGTAGTATTTTTTTTTTATTTATTTTAGTTCAAAAACAATACAATATTTTAATCTTAAAACTAATCTTACACTTTAATTAATGTTATTACAAAATAAATTACAAAATATTTACACATTATAATATTGTTACTTATTGAACTATGCCTTGGCCAAATGCCGTCTGCCAACAAATTAATTAACTAATAATGAAGTGTTCTAAAGCTAATTAAAGTATATTTTACATAATATTAAATTGTAAATATTTTTCTTGTTCTTATTCTATTTTATTTAAAACTAAAAATTTTCATTTATTATTCTATGTCTGTAATTAATTGCATCTTTAACATAGCCAGAGAGTGCGGTCCAATTTTCCCCGTTTAATGCCTCTATTATTTCCTCCTCTGTAAGAGTGTGCTTCCTATAGAATTTGTAGCGCATTTCTTTCGGAATTGGACATAATCCAATAAAGTGTATTATGTCCTCTGGCTGGTCTAAATTACATAATGAGCAATGTGTTGAATTTACTTGCACATATGGTCTATAGTTCAACTTAAGGAGTTCGCCCCGAGTTTTAAAAATCTGGCTGATAGTTCCAATAGTATAATCATCCTTAAAATAATTCCGATCGCGTAATTCATATTCCAACCTTTTGTAAGCATGTCTATAATCACTTGCCCTTGCTGCCAACGTAAATTTAGCTCTTTCATTCGGCATAATTTTTATCAATAGTTTTTTTGCCACGAACGCCATACTTCTCTATTTTCGAGCAACAATACCTCATCATGCGTATTAGCCAGTGATTGCCATTTTTCAACAAAACCTGTCTTCGTATTTGCGAGGAACCTTGCCAGAATTTTAGGAAGTCTATTGTCACTCATATTCATGACGTGATTTATATATTTAAAATGCAGTTTTAGCGTCTCTATATATAAAGTTGACAATCCTGTTTCAAAATGCATCATATAATTGGGCGCGTTGTGGTAACTTGAATATTCTTTTTATGAAGTACCTTTGAAACATTTCTACTTCATTCAATTCGTCTATTCCCCATACCTGTACTGCATAAAAGAGGATTGATCTTACCGCCGCTTTAAATACTTGAAACTTTACCGAGAGCGCAACCTCATTTTTTCCTAAAATTACTTTCCATGACGAGTTTATTGCTTTTCTGGCTTCACTTAACTTTTTACTGAGATGTTCATTAAATTTACCATTATAACTGATCCAAACTCCTAAATATTTGTATTCCTTCACTACTTCTAACGCTTCACCATTTAAGTTCCAAATTTCATTTTTCATAAGCCTTCTGCAATTCCTTTTGAATATCATAATTTTAGATTTAGAAATATTTACTTTAAGTTTCCATATCATACAGTAGGAATATAATTCATTGATCATAGTTTGCATCTTTAAAGGTGAGTCCGCCATAAGTACTAAATCATCTGCATATAATAGTAATTTAATACATGTACCAATTATTAAGATACCTTCGGAAAGATAATTGTTTAAATCGTCTATGAACAACGCAAAAAGAAGAGGTCTTATCAAGCAACCCTGTTTTACTCCTGTGTTCGAAGAAAACCACTTAGAAAGACTGTTTCCATCCCATACTGCTGCAGTCGTGTTACAATATAACGCCCTCAGTATGTTTAGCATTTTTGTAAATACACCATAATTACTTAATTTATAAAACATAGCATCTCTGCCAATAGAATCAAATGTGGCTTTAAAGTCTACAAAAAACACGTACAATTTTTTCTCTTTTTCAACGTATAATTTTGCAATATTTGTCAGTATAAAAACATTGTCCACAGTTGAGTAACCTCGCCTGAAGCCTACTTGAAATTCACTAAGTAGTTTTTTATCGTCAACCCAACTTTGCAGACGTTGATGTAATATGCCTGTAAATACTTTTGCTATCGAATTTAAAAATGATATTCCTCTATAATTTTTTACTTCATGCGGATAAAATAGTGGAAAAACTATTGAATTTTTAAAGCATCCCGGTACTTCTGCATTATCGTATATGTAGTTGAAAATCTCTGTAATCCTTGTGATACCTTTAGCTGAAGCAAATTTTAAAAATTCTGCTGGAATTCTATCTTCACCAGGCGCTTTATTTTCTTTGCAACGCTCTAAAACCTCTGTTAATTCACCTACCTCGATTTTTTTGTCTAATTCATTCTGCGTAGCTAAAACGACTTATATTCTCCGTTGTGTTTAAAAGTTTTTCAAAATAAGTACCTAGAACACCAGAATTGAGAATTACCTAGAATATTATTCCAAAAGCTTTTGGAGTCTTTTACTGATGATAATGATAAGGCAAGATCATTAGTGTGTTGGATTCTTTTATTATAGCAAATAATTCTGTAACCGTTTTTGGCTGTCTTATACTCATTCCAATCTGAGACTAGGCCCCTTTTTCTCGCCATCTTTAAGTTATTAAAACTGTTTGTTCTTGCAATTTCACACTCTTCATCGAACCAATCTTTATTCCGTTTTCTCTTCGTTGGCCCTTGTTGAAATGGACTAGCAGCTTCATTTATTACTGTTGTAAGTGCTGCTATCATTTCATCAGCTGTAGCTTCACACATTACATTACTGTTCAATAATTGGTCAAGATTAATCTGATATAAGTTCAAATATTGTTTTTTTCATTTAAGCTTAGGTAGTAGATTCATATTTTTGCAGTAGTTTATATGATTTAATTTAAGCGTTACTTCCACGGGTAGATGGTTAGAATAGATTTTCTCTTGTATACTAAGTTGCTGTATAATATTTAGAAAAAAACCTTTTAAAACACAATAATCAATTGTTGACGTTGCTCCACCACGCACAAATGTTATTTCGCCCTCTAAATCGTCACTAATTCTACCATTCATTACTGTGAGCCCTAGAGCATTAAACAATTGTATTAATTTTTTTCCGTTCCTATCTAGAGTTAGAGCATTTGCATTTCTTTGTAACTTTGCGTTTCCTTGGGGTAATTCTGGAATAAACTCAATAGCTTGTGCATTTCCTATTCTTCCATTAAAATCGCCTATAACCATCGCATTCATATTGTCTATATCATATAGTGCGTCCCTTAAGTCGGTGAAATCAGCATCCCAATTATTACAATTTATATACACTGGAACAATGTAGGCCTTTTGATCTTCCAATTTTAGCTCAACCACCATAAAATTAGCCATCTTATTAAATTGCGCTATTCCTTTATCATACACTTCTTTCTTAATACCATAGAGCATTCCACCAATGGCACGCCCCCTGCTGGCTTCTTTTGTTGCAGGCACCCAATATGAAACATGATTTTTAATTTTATTTACAATGTAGTCTACTTCATTTTCTAAGAAAGTTTCATACAATAAAAATACATCAAAATCATTTAAATAGTTAAAAAAATCATTATATATTAGCTTATTTTTAAGGCCTGCTACATTATATGATAAGATTTTACAAGTAAATTCTGTTTTTAACTCTACATTATTTTCTATATGACCATTAATATTTTCAGTTTCATTATTTCTGTGTTCACAATATCTTAAATATGCAGATTGTGAACTATTTAGTTTTTTGATTTTTCCAATAAATAACTATAGCTTAAATCTAAAGTATCTATTCTATCACCATAAACTTTTTTTAGAACGTCATTAGCTGGCTGCTTATTATTTACTAAAATACCTGCGCTGTTGAAGTACATCCATTTGCCGTCTATCCTAATGGAATCATTGCGTACAGATACCTTTTGACCATTGTCCAACGACATCAACTGCATCAAAGCCCGTTTTTTCTGAAGCTGCACCTCACTCAAATCTCTCTCAATATATATCTTTGAACCCACCAGTTTTGTTTTACTTCTGAGCACCTGCTGCGCCATCTCAGTGGTATCAAGACTTACGACGATGTTCATTTTATTGTTTTTTTCGAACATTAATCGCGTATTTTGAATTGATATATCGTAAAGCCCCAACTTATCATTGCATAGTTTTTTGAATGCGTTATTTAGCGATTCTTCTTTAACCATGCCTTTCACTATCAAGTTTCGCCTCTTCTTTTCTATAACTATTTTGTTGAGTTCTTTTCGATCCAGGTCTCTATCTTTTTTTAACTGCTCAACTTCCATCTTAAGCCTCTGAAATATATATTAAATTAAATAGTTTCTTTTGCATAACTTATATGTTCATATGTATGAATTGTTAGTTGCTTTATTTTTAATTATATTTTTTTTGTTTGATGAAACAATGGTAAATTTAACAAAGCAAATAATCTAAGTCCATTTGATATTTTTTTCCCTTTAAAATATTATTATTCAGTATTAATAAATAGAAATATAATACATATAAAATTTTTATGGAGTAAATGTGAAGATAAAATGTTAGACAACCTAGGTGTAATTGGATTTTTTTTGAAGATATAATTAAGCTAATAATAATAAGTAAGTAATAATTAAGCTTATATGTATTATGTAAATTGTGTGATCTATCTTCTTAATTATTAGTGGACATAGTAGTTTTTTTTTTACCCCGCTCCTTTTGTGAATATTTAAATCATAGGAAGGTCAATTTTGAATATTTTCTTTTTGTTGTTACAAACATAGACAGGTACAGCAGAGGAGCGGTGACGTCATCTCAACAACTGCGGTGAGTACCTCTTGTTTTTTTCCTAGATGTTTTTTTTTTCTTATTATTTTTTTTTTATATTTAAATATTTACAGAAGGAAATTTATAAAAAAAAAATCTAAAGTACATTGTTAATGAAATCTTTCTATAGTAGTATATGGAGAAGAAAATATTTTTTTCCTAGATATAAATTAAGCATTTAAATCGTAATTTACTTCTAACTTCGACAATTTATTTAAATGACAGTTTATTTTAGTCATCATGTTATTCTTTATTTAGCAAGTTCGCTTTGTTCTGTTGAATTGTAAATAAAGGGAAAAAATACTGAACATAGAAATAATTGTAATATTTTTTTTTATTATCATAGTCTTGTAGGTCTTTCAAATGATAAATAAGGTGAAGAGTATAATCTAAATTGTTGTGTTCCACATATAAATCTAACACAATTTTTTTTCGCAAATTTTGGAAATCTTGCATTAACACCTTGGTATACCCTGAGTATACCCCGGCCTTGGAAAGGGCCAGAAAGGTTATTACAAAATATAATAAACTCTCGTCCGCTTACTGATGTACCTATTATAGCTGAAGACTCCGAACCGATTACACCAAATCACTTCTTGATAGGATGTACCAACTTCACTCAGACGCCACAGCCGTACGACGAAAAAATGTGTTTAAACAAACAGTGGCGAATCGCACAAAAATGGGTAATACAATATCTACCACAGCTTTGGCATCGCCCGAAATGGTACTCTAAAGCACCTTTACTACAAGTTGATGACCTAGTTAGAGTTTGTGATCAGCCCTGCCGCGAAGCCAATGGCAGAAAGGACGCATAACGCAGGTGTTCCCAGCCAAGTATGGTCAAGTCCGTATAGTAGAAGTAAAAACTGCAGCAGGTCTAGTTCGTCGACCAGCCAACCGTATTGCCGCCTTACCATTTGGTAAATCGAATTGATTTACGGAGGGGGGATATTGAGAATTCGCCTATATTGAACACTCACCAAGATTGCCTACACTGAAAAAGCCTACAAGCTGTCATGTGTGATGAGGAGAGTTTGCCGCCAAAAGCCAAGAAGAACACACGCAGTATACAACCGTAAAACAATGCGGTTTAGATAAACATTTATAAACAATTTAAATAACAACTATTATATAAAAATATATTTAAGGAAATTAAAAGTTAACAGTTATTATATTAAATACAATAAATACATAATCAAACTTAACATACATAATAAAACTTAACAACAACTGCATCACTGAAACGTTGTCTTCTTTGATTATAACCATGTCTCCTAAGTGTATGTTGTCAGAAAGTGTTTTCTTTTTGTTACGTTGTTGCAGTTCCATCAAATATTCGTTAGACCAACGATTCCAAAGATGATGTTTTAACTGGGAAACTAGGTTTCAACGTGACAGTAATATGTGTTTCTAATAAATAAGTATCCTACAGTTAATGCAAAGATGCCGTTGAAACGCGCGTAGTAACAAATATTATGAGGACTATACGGATACTTCCCAAAGTGTCCGCCAAAGTGTGGAGCTCTTGGTGGAATAAAATGAAAGTTTATTCCTGTGATACTGCGGGCAGAGTTTATTGATTCTTGCCCTTTATTAAAATAAACGCTTTTCCCTAGTTCAGCTAACTGATTTTTGGTGCCTAAGATGTTTGTTGCGTTATTCCCTGTATATATTCAAACAGCGCCCTCGTTGACTTATAAATTGGTTTAATACTCCAATGAAAGCATTTGTTGACAAATCAGTCACTAACTCGAGATGTACCGTCTTCGGGGCAAGATACCAAAAGACAGCAATACCTTTCACCGCTTACTTTGTAATGGATCCAAAATGGTCCGCAATTGTCTGGTCCAGCATTGATAAAGGTTTTGCGAGAGTTACTCTGGTAGATTTCCCATAATTTGTTGGTATACTTGCGAACGTTCATTGTTGCACCGCATGCATCACCGAACCGTCACCTGTACTGTTGATTTACCTTTAAGCGGCCAAAAACGTTATCGTACTGTACTCAACAGTACCTGATGACCACAGTGCTTTTTTCCTTCACGGACCATAACGAATAATAATTTTGCCAGTGAATCATTGTATGGGATCAGCATTGGGTGTTTAGAATCTTATAATAATGATGAGGCTTCGAAGCCTCCTTTTACTCCTTTATCATCATCATCATCACTGATAGATTGGGTTTAGTAATTTTTATAGGTAGTGATTTTAGAAGATCTAAAGCTAATGGTGGTATGTGTGTAACTTTTTTTATTAAGTTTTCTAAAGGTTTAAAGATTTAAAGGTAGGTTAAAAATAGGTTAAAAAAAAACCTATTCAAAATATCGTAATTGGTAATTTCTCTGCTACATTTACGTGGTTTTTCGTGCCTCCTCCATTAATTGGCCAATTGGTAACATAGCGTGCGATATTATCTCCGGACCATGAATAAAGTATTTATGTAGCGTAGGAGGCATATTATACCAAGCATATATCGATACAAAATGTCTAGCAGTTTCATGTGCAAAACATCGAAACCTTCCAATTTCTATTTCATGGCCACAAGAAACAACAATCAATATGATATGCATCCTTTTTATTAAATCTAAATCAACACTAGTGATTTCAGCCGATAGTTCTGCGTTCTTGAAAGAACCTTCTGGCTATATTCCCACCATTTGAATTACCAAATTCGGGTTTTGGTTGATTAACGATTAAACCAGCTCTATCTTTGAAGTCTTTTTGAATATATCTCTTTGTTTCCATGACAGGTTTTTTATCGTATTCTGATTTTGCTTGCCATTTTTAATGGGTAATTTATATAATAAAGTAGTAGATATGCAGTAGACATTCAGAAAACCTTATCCACCCATGCAATACCGACAACCCAAAACTAAGACTAGAAGTTTCAACATTTTTAGCAATCATTTCATCAATTGAATTAAACTTTGCACTTGTTGCACCGCATAAGTAACACTTCTGAGTTGATGTTGTTTCGGTGAAGGCATTGCATACTTTTCCATCTACCATTGTTAACAGAAAATTATGTCTCACCTCAACAGTTTTGTTTTTGAATACCACAATAGACTTATCAATGTTTTAAACCTCTTCTTCAATCATTTGTTTTTCTGCACTGGAAACGCTTGCGCATTCTTTTTTAAAAAAAGATCTTAAAGGGTCTACAAAATCTGGTAGAAGACGGTTTCGGGTTTTGTCAAATAATTTTGTCACCACAAAGTAACCTTAATAGTATAAACGATGTTATGAAAATAGCAGCATCGCTGTTATTTGGTTCATGAAACGCCTGTTTAAATGAGATATGGCCAAAGCTTCCTTCAAATCTCCACTTAGATTGTAAACAAAAATTTGCTAATTCTTTTTCACATAAAGTAACAATGACGGAATTTTTTAGTAGTACGAGACGCTCCACAGTATGGTCAAGAAGTGCTTTTAACTTAACTTCAGCCAAGGTTTCAGTTATTTTAATATAGTCGGAATGAGGATAACAAAGTTTTTTAGCTGACTGTACCGATGAATATGACGGAAACGATCTGGAGCAGCCTGCCTAATGATGATATATTGATGCCCCGTTAACAGAGCGTCAACACTTATAGCCAAAGCTTTTTCATTTGTGATTTTCTTGCCTTTTTCCATTGATTCATTTAAATTTTTTTTTATACTTTACTGCTCTTGTTGGTGAAGATGTTGATAATTCGTATACCAACTTAGAACCCTCAACATTTCCTGTAGCTTTTAAATTTATCTTGGTAACAAGATAACAAAATTGGTAACAAAATTCTCTCGTAGAATTTTGGTTTTTTTGTAACTAGTGGATACATCACTCTCTTCTTTACGACCGCGTTTACATTTATTATCAAAAGTAAATCTTATAGATGAATCTAACCAATTACGGTTAAATTTGAGAAAGCGATCTTCTACTCTGTGAGCTTTTGTCCAACGTATTTTAAAATATCTAAAAAAAAATTTTCAAAAACTCTTCCAAATTTGTGCCTTCATCTGCTGCATCAGTACGATTTTTAATTTCATGTTTTAAGAATTTAAATTTTTCTTCAAACCCTGAGTTTTTCATAATATCACACAGCGTCTGACGTGAAATGAAAATAGTGTTTAATAAGGTTCCTATAAAAAGAAGACATTTTCTTATTATCAGATAATTTCAAGAAATCACATTTTTCCCCTTTTACCTTTCGCAAACTACGTTGACATCACTTTTATTGTTACAAAAACAAAACAAAAGAAGAAACAGACACATTACACCAACAATGTTTGCTTACATGCAATAATTATCAATCGCAGTGAGCAAATTGGCGCAGACATTGCAGCACTAAAATCTGAATATTTCAGAAAAGGCACAAAAGGGCACATTAATTTTTTGCCACATGGTAGTCAAATATATGTACTTTACGTATAATTTGGAATTATTAGTACATTTTACTCAAAAATAACTTTGTCTATTTATTTCCTGAAAATACATGTAATTTCAAGACTATAACAAATAAATTTTTTTAATTATTTATACACATATTTTGTAATCGCAAATACATTTAAATATTAGAAAAATACCTGAGCTTGATAATACTTACTTGTTAATAAAATTTTATTTCAATTAGCACTTGAAATCACTAAAAAAAAATATGCAACGCACTCTTGACACATCGTAAGAATGAAAAAATGTGCAAATTCTGAACCGTGCTATGGTGATACCGTTATATATATAACATTAATTTTTTCAGCCAGTGTTGAAGAATTTCATCTACTTTCTGCCGATATCAAACATGACTACGATATCCAAAATATATTTTTTGAATTAAACCACATAATCAGGACCAATTACACTACTGTGCAACACGCGCATGTAGAGAACGTCTTTGCTGAAAGTCCTCTGGATAACATATCAGCTGGGTTGTTCTTTGACCTAACATCTTGCCACTGCTCAGAGAGAGTTAATGTTTGAGTTTTTGCCACTTTGTTAGCTACAAATGTTTGAAATGATGAGGACTGTGAATTGATCCAAGACAACACAATTTCTGAATCAGTCCACAAAAATACTGGTTGGTTCTTCTCCTGAAGATAGATTTGACCCTTGCTGAGAGTTTCGTTGCAAGGACTGCAGCACACAGCTCTACTCGTGGTAGTGTTTGTTTCCTGTGGGATACTACTTGTGACTTCGCACATAATAGTCGCCGTTTATTTCACCATCCTTTAAAATTGCTCGGACATATGCTGCAGCACCAAATGCCTTTTCGGATGAGTCAGCAAAAATGTGTTGCTTTGTTGATAATGGCACCATGGTTTTGTGGATGTGTCTTGACACTTTAAAGCTTTCAAGAGTACCTAAGTTTTCTCTATATGTTGACCATGTTGTACGAAGATCCCAAGATAATTTCAATTGCCATAAGTATTGAATACAAATCTTCATCTCTTCTATTACTAGCGCTAATAAACTAAGTGGGTCAAATAGTACTGCTAAATCAGAACAAACGACTATCTTCGTGATTATACATTCAGTAACCATTTTAACCTTAATGCCAAATAAATCCGCTTTGGGTAACAAAAATAATCCCAGCGTTTTGATTGAATCGTTATTATCATTAGTAAAATCTTGATTTACCTCTTGATCATCTTGAGAAATGTTTTTCAAAAGTCGGGGATGCTTTGCAATCCATTTCCATAGATAAAAATAATTCTTCTTCAATATGTGGATTCGTTAATTAACTGTCTGATCCACAGAGGTCATCATCAACGTAGAAATTATCACACAGAATTTGAGCTCCTAATGCACAGTTCACCTTGTTTTTAAATGCTATCTTCTGCAGATTTCTTGTTGCCAGATAAGGAGCTGCTCGATTCCCATATGTAATTGTATTGAGCTGATAATATCGAATTGTTGAATTTGGACTACTTCTCCATTTACTCGATATCGATATAATCCGTTTATATCGAAATTTATCAAAATTAAAAACATATTTTTTGAACTGTCGGTCTATTTTTCATTATGGTGTTTAGCGATATCCTGATGTAGTTTTAGCTGATGCATCAAATATCATTCGAAATTTGGTAGAGGTACTGTCAGGTTTTAGTATAATTTATGGGGAATGAAATTTCTGGGAGTTAACATGGAATCCACCAATACATCATTTTTTGCTAGTCATCGTTTAAGACTGACAAACCGTCTGCAAGCTGTTTCTTGAGATTGCCCTAACATTAATGTGTTTTCCAGAAACGGCAACCTTACATGAACATTCTGAACAAAGTGAGATTCTGATAGTTTTTCTTCTTTGGATAATGTCCTCATATCTGTGTTTACCTCATTCATTCGCCATAACAGCTCAATTGCATCATGTTTTTCTTCTTCTTCTTTGTTCCGTTAACTCCCAAGGGAGCATAGGGGCTTAACAATTGCTCTGAACCTTATTCTATTTGGAGCAGCCGTGCAGTTGTCGTTCCATGAGTAGCGCGCTGATGTTAATTCGGCATCAATTGTCCGTCACCATGTTCTTGAAGGAGCGCCAGACCAGCGACTACCCTGTGGGTTCCATTTTAGGGCTGGTTTAGCGGTACAGGAATTCGACTTGCGTAGTGTATGTCTGATCCATTGCCATTTTCGTTTTTGATTTCGCTTTCGACGCTTTGCATATTTGCTCTTTTCCACAATTCTGCATTGAATTGCATCACCTACCGGTAAATTATTACCAACATCCTTCACCGCCAAAAGTTACATGTAAAACCTTTGATAAAACGTCTGTATTTGATGCAATCTTGCCACTGACAATCCATCCAAGTGTTGAATTTTGCAAGACTGGAAGGCCAGGAGAAACTGTGATTTTACTCTTTGTTACAGACTGAAATAGAACTCTGCAATATAATTGACGACTCTAATTCTGCGTATATACATATACTGCATAAAAAGTGTCAGATCCCATTATTTAATAGGTTTCGTATAAAGTAGCGCAGTATGTAATATTTGCGCACGTTTTGAGAAAGCATAAGGTTTTTGTATATTTAAATGACTATGCATCAAATTTTCTATGCTGTAGATCTCCTTGTTACTTTGATTAGGTTCAAATTCTACAATGAAAAGCGGAATTGGTTTTTTCGATTATCTGTATTTCATATTAAGCATGTTTATAGCTTTATGACCCATATCCGACAAAGCTGTTTTAATGTCCACGGTGTTGACAGATGGATGCATGTTTCTCAAAATAGCTTTAAAACTTCGTTCACCTTCAGGCTTGTAGGTATAAAATTCAGTTTTTTTCGATTCGAGTTGCTTTACTATTGTTATATAAGATTCAGTGGTTTTCGCTTGGGTTTTTACTTTTTTATTGTTTAAAACTTTTAGCAGATGGACAGATGGAGAAGACTGCATTAATACTTTAGAAAATAAAGAAGAGCAAGAAATAGCGAGAACACAACTTATCGGTATGGTTGAAAGGTATAAAAGACAAATAACACATTCTCCTATGGAAAAATACATATTGCGCACAGTGGAACAAGCGAATAAATTTTTAAAACTGAATAAAAACATTTTAATACTTAAATCTGATAAAGGCAACAAAACAGTTGCTATAAAAAAAGAACATTATGACAAAGAAATTAAAAATATAGTAAATGATATTATGACATACCGAATACTCAGAAGAGATCCAACTTCAACGTTACAAACTAAAAATAATACAATAGTCACAAAACTTTTTGATAATCAAATAATAAATAAAACAGAAAAACTAAAATTATGTACATATACAGCCAACCCACCTAGAATATATGGGTTACCTAAATTACATAAGGAAAATATGCCACTTAGGCCTATTTGCTCTTCAGTTAACTCACCATCATACAAATTGTGTCGATATATAGCGTCAATTTTAAAAAATCTGACCATACATTCGGTTTATAATGTTAAAGACTCAATTGATTTCAAAAATAAGGTCAGTAATTCATATATATTCGATGATGAAATAATGGTATCCTTTGATGTAGTATCCTTATTTCCGAATATACCGGTTGAACTAGCCATTAAAATTTTGGAAAAGAAGTGGAATATAATTAAGACATTCACTAAGATTACTAAATCACTTTTCTTCGAAATTTTAAATTTCTGTCTTAAAGAAAATAATTACTTCATGCTAGACAACAAAATTTATAAACAACGTAAAGGCATGCCAATGGGCTCACCGTTATCACCCATTATAGCAGACATCGTGATGGAAGAATTATTGGAAAAGTGTATGGATGACCATGAATATAAACCAAGATTATTAACGAAGTATGTAGATGATATCTTCGCGATAATACGCAAAAATAAAATAACTCAAATACTTCAAATTTTGAATTCTTTTCACACAAATTTAAAATTCACCATAGAAGAAGAAAAGAATAACAGGCTTCCTTATTTAGATGTTGAATTAATTAGACATAATAACCAAATTCACTTTCAATGGTATAAAAAGTCTTCAGCGTCAGGAAGATTAATTAACTATAATTCCAATCATCCTAAACACGTGATTTTAAATACAGCATCCAATTTTATTAGAAGAGTTCTAGTACTGAGTGACAAAATTTTCCATAATGAACAAAAGAACATAGTGCGTGATATTTTAATAAAGAATGACTTCCCCGTAAGGATTATTAATATGATGCTTAATAAGACCTGTAAAAAGCTCCAACCTAACAATAATAATGACAAAAAAATATATAAATCCATTGATTATGTTCCGAAATTGTCAAACCAAATAATGAATTCTAGTATATATGACAAGGAACGTTATAAAATTACTCATAAGGCAACAAACACAATAGCTAAATTATATAGCAATACGAAAACTAAAATTAATAATAAAGACAAATCTAATGTAGTGTACCAGCTGAATTGTAAAGGTGACGGGTACAATGTATGTAACAAAATATATATAGGTACGACTAAAAATAAGCTTAGGACAAGGATGGCTGGACATAAACACAGTTTAAAAAATAAAAGTGGTGCTGAAGCCAATACAGCATTGGCTGTGCATTGTATGGAGCATAAACATGAACCTGATTTTGATAAGGCAAAAATTTTATATGAAGAAAGGAACCATAACAAGAGGTACTTTCTAGAAATGCTCTCAATACTTCAAGTGCCCAATAATATAAGACTCAATTATAAAACGGATACGGACAACTGTGCTCAGGCTTATAGGAATATTATAAACAAATGACACAGGATGTTTGTAAAGCTTTTTTTGTTTTTTTTATAAATTTTTTTTATAATTTTAATTTTTCTTTTGTATTTTTATTGTTGTTTTTTCTCTTGTTGTCATCATTATTATTGTATTTATTGTATGATTTTTCTTTATAATCCGCTATAAAAATGTGAACATCCTATATTTTGTGTAGTTTTCCCTGAAGATGACTATCGAAGATAGTCGAAATATCGGAAATAAAATATAAACGATTTTTAAATATAAATAATAAATTAAAGTCTTTTTATTTATATTAAAATTTGACCAATTAGCCCGGTAACAAATTATTATAATTAAAACTTTTAGCTCAAAATTACTTACTTCACTTGAATATTGGTGGAGGTTTGGGATGCTTTGCGGCATGCTGCATCACTTCTGAAGCTTCTTCTTCTTCTGTTTTGAGCACTGAAAATCTATTTACAGAACGGCTCGGATTGTCTAGCCAGTAACTATTTAATTTATCTTGTTTTTCAGTTTCAGCAATTTTTGAACGATGAATTTCAGGACTAGAAGGAGTTCTTTTCTGACTTTCTTTATGAACTTTGATTTTTTATACTGAACAGTTTTCAAGAGAATTGCTAATTGGGTTTTCCTTTGAGTGAGTATTTCCCTTCGATTGAGTATGCATTTGGAGAATAGTTTGAGTTTTGTGACTATTCTGCTTTTTATGCACAGATGTCGAGCGGATAGTGCGAGTTGATGTAGTAGGCATCTCGTTTGTTATATTGGCGATCGAACTTACCGAGGTTGTTGAAAGTAAAAGTAAGGCATGAATGGAAGACACGAATATCTGGGTTGATGTAGAACTCAAGGTGTAAGTTATCCAGTTTGAGGTGCTTACTGTGACGCTATTTGTAGTACATGTTAATGTTGAGCAGGAATGCGCTGATAGATTTGTTGGAGAGAACCCGGCGTGAGCGTATGAGGTGAGCTTACCAGTGGCGTACGGCATTGTTCACTCCAAGAGTAAGATACACTATCAAGTTGTTGATGTGAACAAGTGTCATAATAATTTTTTCCAATTGAGTTTAAATTGTCTTCGGCGTTTAGCTGTTTTTAGTTTTTTGTAGCTAATGGACATCGTTGAACACTCATTATTTGGATTTCATTTAAATTACGATTGCTCTTCATTGAACTTATTTTTTAAGTTGCAGTTGTGGCAACATTTAAACGACACACAAATAACACAAAACAACACAGAAACTACACGAACAACACACGATTCACACAAAATACACAAGAAGAAGAAGAGTAGCTGAACACGTAGTCAAGAACACGAAAACGATCGAAAAAAGTGGCAGTTATATTTTTGCATATACGTACTTTCTGTTCAAAAAGTTGTTTGTTAACTACTCCTTAAGTAATAGACCTTTTTCAAAATTTTTTTTTGTTATGTACTCCCTTTCTTGACATATTGTACAAATATGTGCGCCATCTGTTAATTAGTTTGTTTACAGCATTTAGCGATTTTTACTATGGAAAAATCATGTTGTACGCGATTTTTTGACCAAACACGGCACCACTGTCATCGCTCAGGCACCATATTCGCCCCTTCGTGGTTAGCGTTTTGAGTCGATTGAATCGGTAAAAGAGAATTCGCCGAAGGAACTAACAGCCAGTTCACTCGTACACATACATGAAGTGAAACTTTACTTCAGCTAAAAATGGTACACATACCTAGTTCATGAATCTCATTACGTGCGATTTTGCGCGGTCTTGGATCACAGATTAATACCGCAGACAAGTTTTTCATACCATACACAATATAGGTCATCCAGGCAGCAAGGCCACGGCAAAACTGATCAGCGAATTATTCATCTGGCCAAACATAAAAAGGGATGTAGCAAAAATGGTTGGAGCATGTCCACAATGCCAGCGAGCTAAAATAGCCAGATACAACAAAACTGTACTTGGAACCTTGAAGGTACCCGATCGGCGATTTGCGGCAGTATACGTCGATATTGTGGGGCCATTACCACTATCATACGGATACAACTACTGCCTGACATGCATAGATCGATTTACCCGGTGGCCCGTTGTTATTATGGACATTTATGCACACACTGTAGCAGCAGCGTTCATCACGGGATAGGTTCCACGCTATGGCATTCCTTCAGAGATCACCACAAATCAAGGCAAGCGGTTCGAATCCAAGTTGTTCGCTGAGCTCACGCAATTGATTGGTGCAAAACATCTACGCACAAGTGCGCGACACCACAATCGAACGGAATCCTGGAACGATTCCATAGAACATTAAAAGCAACATTGAAATGTAGACAAAATCAAAGGTGCACAGATGAACTACCACTGATATTACTAGCTCTACGAAGTGTGTACAAAGACGACATCCAAGCTAGCGCAGCCGAGATAGTATACGGTACATTTCTTAAACTCCCGGGAGAATTATCAAGTAAACTTATTATCATTTTAATCAAAGACCGACCGGTCCAAGTCAGCATTGACAGAGTAAAAGCAGCTTACTTGTTGAGTGAAGAAAAAGAGCCAACCACGCAGTTGCCCCGATCTACATCATTTTAGTAAAGCCCAGATGCACAACCATTACAAACATCTCAGCAGGAGCTCAATCCTAGTCGCAGTGCCTCCAGCGGTAGAGTCAACCGTTTACCTGTCAGATTCACGACATAAAATCAGTTGCATATAACGTAACATCGCTTCCACTCAGTCACTAGTGGGGGAGTGATGTGACGACCAATATGGCAACATTCAAACGACACACAAATAACACAAAATAACACAGAAACTACACGAACAACACACGAATCACACAAAATACACAAGAAGAAGAAGAGTAGCTGAACACGTAGTCAAGAACACGAAAACGAACGAAAAAGAGTGGCACTCGGATTTTTGCATATACGTATTTACATTAAAATATATAAATAATAAACATTGTAAGGCCCAAATTTTATTCTAAAATTTAACCCCACAAATTAAATGAATAGTCAAATATGAGTTTTAAACCCACTTAGTAAAAACATGTTTCTAAATTCAATAAAATTTTTCTGCAGTAACACCTATTTTTGACCCTGTAAATTACATATCAAAGACAAACATTTTTTATAAACAAATGACCCTGTGAAGTAAAATATGTTTTGATTAGTTTTTTTTGCCGCTAATAAAAATTAGTTAAATTTGTTGTAACTATTTCTCTTGGTTGTCTGCATAAACAAATTTAAGAAAAATATTGTGCACGCATTTTTTATGTGATGCAGTTATTTTTGTTGAATTTGATTGCAATGCGTACAACAATAAGAAATTTGTTTTGACAAATTTACGGGACTTTGTTTATTTGAAAATAATTATTGTTTTTGTATGTAATAGAAGGAATTTCAAATAAAAGGGCAGCGAAATTGCCAAATCTTTCTATTTGGAATTTCTTTCACTTCAAAGTAAGTCACTTTTATTAGGGATGATAGTGGGAGCTCGGACTAGTTGGTCCAGGCATATGTTGATTCGTTTGGCCATTGCTGACGATCACCATGTGGATGGCTGAACTAGTTTGGGTGAAGTGATAATGGTTGAATAACCTTCTGCTTGGCTTATGCTGGCGTAGGGTAATTTAACCAGTTGAGTTACCTTCTGCTTGGCTTTTGCTGGCGTAGGGTAATTTAACTAGTCATCCAGACTTCCATTTGGCCATAGCTGATGGAGGAATGGGCGACGAGTCACCAACACTGTCAGAAGGCGTGTGGACAACGAGCGTTTGGCAATTGCTGACGGACGTGGCCAGGCGTAACAGTAGGAAGGAACCCTTTTCTGGCTTTTGCTGACCAAGGTATTGCTTTATATTGATATTAGAGTTTCTAGAGATTAGCTATTTGGAATTTCTTTCACTTCAAGGTTAGCAACTTGCGCACCACTGCAAGCAATCGTCATACGACATTTCACAACATTCTACACCGTTTACAACATCGTGACAGCGTTTATGACATCATACAACATTTCACAACATCCTACACCGTTTACAACATCGTCACAACATTTATAACACCATACAACATTTTACAACATGCTACACTGTCTACAACATCATTACAACATTCTGCATCATTAGCAACATTTTCAACATCGCTTTCCACAACTTGATTATATTTTCTTATTTTTTTGTTAAATAATAAACGCTACTTTAAACAGAAGTGTCTCTATTATTTTACTTAGATAAATTTTCTTATAACGAACCCTGGTATACTCGCTGAGTATACCCCAGCTATAGATAGGGCCGGGAAAAGGTCGTTACAACGTGTAATAAAAGGCAGCTGTGCCACAAAGTTATTTTAAATATTTAAAACTTTCGAAAACAATTAGTAGAATTATTGAATGAAGTTAATTACTACATAAATGTACCGTATTTCACTTTTAATTTTGATTAAAGTGTATTTTAAGTGCAAATAAATATTTATGCAGAAAACTTTAACTTCAAATTCTTCACAAAATAACTATAATATAATTTAGTTTAGTTAAATAACTAATTAAACAGTTATATATATATGTATGAATTTGTTTATTTTTAGATTCAACACGATTGCTCTTTGCTACATGGTGGATATTTATTACAATTTTAACTTCATTTTACACAGCCAATTTAACAGCATTTCTTACATTATCTAAGTTCACGCTTCCTTTCAACACCGTAAACGATATTCTCTATAAGAATAAACATTTCGTATCAATAAGGGGCAGAGGAATTGAATATGCTATTAGAAGTGTATGTATATCTTAATTGTTTTCATTGATAAGATTTTCATTCAAATTATTTTGAGTATTTTATTAATATGAAATGCAATAATCAATGAGTTGAATGAAAGACTATGATTTTAACGGTTACTTGTGATAAAAGTATACATCGATTTGGGATCGAAATATAAATTTTTAATCATTTCTGTATATTTCGGACAAGTTTTGAATTTTATAAAAAACAATAAGCGTTTTCTTTTGTAAGTGTGTAACAAAAAAACTAATAAAATAAGCACTACTTTCGATGGCAACTCTGTACAAAATAGCGATTGTGTTAAGTTTTTATGTGCACAACACGTAATAAAATTTAAAGTTGAAATTTCGAAAATTAATAATAATTCTTTGCAATTAATGGTGAGAATACTTTTTTTACATGAATGTAAATAAAATATAATTTTTCATGCCTTTTAACAGTAAAATAATTAAAAGAAAAAATAACGTTTTTGTTACGAACAATGACGACACGAAATACGAATAATTAACAAAACCATTCGTTGACAGTCAACTGGAAATTATGTACGTACTTCCAAAAGTCGTTCACAATAGACAAGTTTTAAGTCTTGGTAACTACACCATTTGAGCTACTTATTAGTTAAGCGGTTTCAAAAAGGTTGGACTGATTAAGTCAGCATTGTTGTTGTTTCATATGTTATTTTTAAAATAAGCAGTTGTTTTATAGTTATTATTTTTATGATTTTGTGTGTGTGGTCGCCAGTTTTTATTGAATATAAGATTGAGCTGAATAATGAGAAATGGACCCTTGGAAGAATTTATTAAAATTAATTTACTTACATGTTAATACCTTGTGAACATCCATTCGGAATTATTACTAACCCGATAGTATTTGGCAGAAAACGGAAACTCCGTTTACTTCGATCTTAACTAAAGAAACATTTTAGTCACATGTATTAAATAAGTATAATTATATCACACCTGTGCCACTTTTACGCTCTTTCAGGGCTGCTACATACATTTTTTTTAATTACTTATTACACAAGTTTTTTTTTATTGATGCAGATACATAAAAATGATTAATTTTTGCTTCGACATTTCAAGATGTGCGGGCAAAAACAGAACGTAGAAAGTAATTTAAACTTGTCAGAAACAATCAAGTTAGTAACAAAATTTGTAAAAATAGTGGTGGCGGTTTAATGTCAAGAATAAAATATTAGTATATTCATATTTTTTTTCGTAAAAAATGAATTTTGGCTTTGCAGAATTGTTTTGTTTTTAAATTTGTTTGTATAATTCTTAAGCGTCCTTTACTCACAATCGATCTTTTTTTTATATAACTTCACAGTCTTATTTTTTTATATATCAAACTTTGGTCTTAAAGATAATAATTATTTCATTTTCGAAAATAAACTATACACACAACGAAATGCCAATGGGTTCAATAGTTTACCCATCATAGCAGATATTATTATAGAAGAGTTATTAGATAACAGTCTTGAAGAAATGTTCTCTAAGCCTAGATCGTGACGAAATACGTTGACGACCTGTTTAGTATAGTTAAAGCAGAAAAAATTGATGAAAGTCTAAGAATATTGAATTACTTTCACAAAATATTAAATTTACTATGGAAAAAGAAACAAATAATATGCTTCCCTATTTTGCTATCAAATTGTTGAGACACTATAATCACATCTTTAAAAAATGGTATCAAAAAACAACTGCATCAGGAAGAATCATCAATCTTTATTCACAGCATCCATACCATGTAGTGCAAAATACAGCAAAAAATATAATAAAAAGAGCTCTACTTTTATCAGTTCCAACGTTCCATGATGATTTAGAAAATAAATTTCGAAGAATTTCAAAAGCAAATGATTTTCCCTCTTCCAATGTGGTAAAGATTATCAAAAATATTAACAACTTTCAGAATGACATCAGGAATAAGGACAACAAAACATATAAAGGTATTACACATATTCCACAACTTTCTAATAAAATATTGGTATCTGACAAATTAAATTATAATATCACACTAAGATCTGGAATAACAATGAACGCACTATACTCCAACTTAAAAAACAAAATAAATAATTTTGATAAATCAAACGTAGTATACCAAATGAATTGCACATGCGATGGGTACGACATATGTGACCAAGAATATGTTGGGACGACTGAAAATAATAGAAAAACAAGAATGACTGGAAAAAACACAATATAAAAAATAAGGTCGGTGTGGAAGCCACAACATCCCTTGCTTTACATTGTATTTCTACACTCCATGAGCCGGATTTAGAAAATGTGAAAATTCTATACCAAGAAAATAATCATCGCAAACGATATTTCTTGGAGATGCTCACAATTAGAACTTTTTGAATTTCCCGCGCAGTTACACCAAATACAACAGTGCTGCCGTCAGCTGTAATCTACCAGTGGGCAAAGTTTTAATTTTGAGCAAGCGCGGGAAATTCAAAAAGTCACAGACTTATCAAACCGCCCTCGTATATACATTTATGCATTTAGTCCACCATTATGTATTAATATGTTGATTAGTATTTGAATCTAATGTTTAGTTTCCTGATAATGACCTTTGACTAAGGTCACAAAAAAACTATTGCAAAATTAAATTGTGATTTCTTTTTCTTAATTTTTAGTTTTAATTTTTAACAACAATAAAAAAGCGTTTCGGCTAATTAGCCTGAAAAAAACACTTTATTATAATAATTATCAATATTATTGTTGTTGGCAAATTCAACAATAATAACAATTGTTGTTGGCAGTAAAACAATCTCTATTCACCACTTTAATTTAAAGTAATTTAATTTAAAGTAATTCAAATATTTTAATTTATTTCTACTGTTATACATTATTCACTTAATCAATTTATCATATACATTTGTGTTATTTACTATTTCTTTTTTATTTTTTTTTAACACTTACGGTTTAAATTTATATTAACGCGAATTGAATTAACAAATACAAACCAACTTGAGAACAGAAAAACAGACCAACAGAGCGCTCAAGACTACTGATTACTGCCTTTTAATCAAAACTTCTAAGCGTTTTATCTATATTACCTTACCTATGTCTTACCTAGTCCTTACCTATGCTGCAAATTCAAGGTATCCCAATTACCGCAATTTAATAATTATTCAATAGTTTTTGCATAATTTGCAAAAACATAAATAATTTAAATTGCACTCGATATTATTGCATCTTTTAATTATTTTATTTTCAATGTCGCTTTCAGCTTGACACAATTAACAATTATTAACAGAAAACTAAAAATCAGCACTTCCTACCATCAAGCGGACGAGCGGACCTTTGTGTCTGCCATTGTGCAAGCCACAAACGTTGCTGCCTACTTTTAGGCATGCTTTATGTTTGACGGTGAGTTAGGATATCAACATTTATCAAAAACAACAACAACAAATATATATCATAGGAGCATACTTTGCTCGTCATATGAGACTACAGATAAGCCATGCATTTGGCATGTACAATATTGTTACTACAGAACATCATGACGAATGAAAATTCGTTTGTGCAAGGTCGCGTATTATAATGATTAAAGTAATAATTATGGTTGTAAGTTAACCTGGTATATGAATTTAGTGCAAGGTTGAAAGAAAATAAGTTTATTAAGCATATACCAGGTTGCTAAGAAAATTACGCGAGTAATATTTCCCTTTTGTTTATTCGTAAAATACATACAATTTCCATGAGAACTATGACCGATCCCACGACTAAGCTAAACGATATCTAATCGCTACTTTAATGCAGCTTAAGGTATAAGGCATTATCGTGGGAATTGTATGCATCTACACCTTGCCAAAATTGTATAAAAACCAAAACCTTTAATTATAAAATGCAAATCAATCCCAGAATTCTTTGGACTTTTAATTTGTTTTCAAGTGCCGATTAAGACTCAAAGCAAATAGGTTGAAATGCCTAGTTGTTCACAATACTAAATAAGGATATTACCCAAAAAGCAGTTTATCTGAAGTTGGTTCAAGTGCCAAATTCAGTATTCGCAATAGGAACTGGTTCAAGTGCCGGATTTATAATTATAAGCAACGATCCAAGTATCGCTTCAGATTCAATAACAAACGAGTTATTGAGCAGTTTGGATCTATATAAACAAATTCGGCATAAACAATTATTGAAATATTGTTGTTTATTTTTTAAAAAAAAACTTTTCAGTATTTTAAAATACTATTTTTGCCAGTTTTTAAAATACTATTTTATTTTAATTACATGATAAAACCAGGGCAACTGTGTACAATCGTGTAAAGTCGTAAGCATAGTTAATGAAAATATTTTGTTATTTTGCTGTTACATTTGCATTTTACCTATTTTATTTTTATAGTCAAAAATAAGCAATTTAAAATAGTCACAGCAATTCAAATTATGGATAGAATTCTTAATTTAAAAAAACAATAATTATCAATGTGTATAAGAGAAATTAAGTAAAATACAATTTATATTTTCTAGGACAAAAAAAATGTATTTTTGTTACTGATTTCTACATGTTAAATAAATTATAGAGCTTGAGTTACTGGATCATTTATTTATTTATTATATAACCTCTTTACTTTCTATTAAAATTATTTTTGCTAATATTTTAATTTAGGTCTATTCTTAAAATGCTATTTCTTCCGTTAGGGAATAAAAAAAAAATATTTAAATATCTAAAAATATCTAAAATTTTTTAAGTGTACAAGACTTTTTAATTAATCCAATAAATCCTACATCAAACACTCTATTTTTGTTTTTTTTATCATAGTTCGTCTTCGCATTTTACTTGGATAATTTTTACGTACCAATTCGTACGACCGCTGTATTTTATATTTCAATAATTTTGAATAATCATCTTGGTTCACATAGGTATTATTTTTAAACTTATCGGTATCTCAAATTCAAAAGCGAATAAAGTTCTGCTTGGTGTCTGTTTACTAGCGGCATGTATTGCATTGCTATGCGTATGCATTGCATGATGCAACCACTTATCACACT